TCACTTCTGGGCCCCCTGAAGCCTGAATGAAGAGGAAGTATCAGGCGGGAGCCTCGTCTGTAACTGAATTGTGAAGAAGTCTCAGGCGGAGGCCCCCTCCATATGGGACCCGCAGCTCACGTTAGTACTATGAGCGGTTTATCGGAAACTTGTAATTGTCGTCACCTTTGGGCTCCTCAGGGTCAAATGTGGAGGAAGGATCAGGCGGCATCCTCATTTGCAAATGAATTGGGGGCCGCCCGGAAAGCTATTTGGCTTTTGGCTTCGTCGCACTATGCGAGGCGAGAGCCTCTGGCCCCGTCAGTTATGCGAGCCTCTGGCCGCTCCCGCTTCCTACTGCAGGGAATCTGGCTGCAGGTGCACGGCTTCAAGGAGTCCCCCATCTACCAGGAGGTCGCCGAACTGCTGGTATAGGACGCCAAAGGCGACGACGGCGAGGCCGAGGCGCGGGCGCGGAGCTTGCTGATGTTCAGGCCCAGCGAGCAGGAGCTCACGTGGCAGAGCTCGGGGCCGCGCGCCGTGCGCCGTTCGGGGTTCACCATGAAGCGCGCGGCCTACCTCGCCTCCACACTGTCGCAGGACCAGACGCTGCGCAAGGGCGTCACCATCGACTGCGCGAGAGACGAGGACGTTGGCCGCGCGGGCATGTCGGACGACCAGCGGTGGCTGCGTCTCTACGTCATTCTCTTCCGCGCCACGCGCGTGCGGCGGGCGCTGATCCTGCGGCCGCCGCCGCGAGAGTTCCTCGGGCGCGGGCCGCCGGCGCCCTTGCGGAAGGCGCTCCTGGAGTTCGAAGTCAGAGCGGAGAGCTCCAGGGCAGAGGCGGAGCAGCTCGCGGCAGAGCAGGGTTTCGCGCTGCCCCCCGCCTGAGCGTGGCGGCGCCCCGTTCGAAACCCGCGGGGTTGTCCCGACGGCTTGGTCTCGCGCGCCAGCGGTTCGCAGGGTTGCCCCGACGGCCCGGACCGCGAGGTTGCCGCAGCGGCTGCGCGGCGTGGATGCGCCGGCGCTGGCCGAAGCGGCGACGGCGCCGAGGAAAATATACATGCGCGCTCGTGCCAGGAAGAAAGACACAACGCGAGGAGAGCGGGCGTGGGGGCGGAGGAGGAGGAAGAGGAGGAGGAGGAGGAAAAAGGCGAAGAGCAGGAGGAACGCGAAGAGGAGAGGGGGAGGAGGAAAAAACGGAGGAGGAGGAAGAGGAGGAGGAACAAGAAGAGGATCGCACCTGCAACGAGTAGGACGAGATGGAGGAGGAGGAGGAGGAGGAGGAGGAGGAGGAGGAGGAGGAGGAGGAGGAGGAGGGGGGGGGGAGGGGGGAGGGGAGGAAAAGGAGGAGGAGAGGAGGAGGAGGAGGTTGGGAGGAGGAGGAGGAGGAGGAGGAGGAGGAGGAGGAGGAGGAGGAGGAGGAGGACGCATATTGCGGAAGGAAGCCCTCCGCCAGTTGCAGAAGGTAAAGGGCGAGGGGCAAGCTAATTCTGTTTTCGTGCGGGGTCCTACAGTCGTAATAGTTTTTTTCCACAGATGTAGGGTGGGCCCCGCAATTTGCATATTGTATTGTTTTTTGACAGGGATGGCGGGGGGGGGTGCCCGCATGGTTCCGGGTTGGCTGTTGGCCAGGTGGGGGAGGGAGGGGGTGTTTAATTATAGGGAGCAGTGATGAAGCTTCCCACCTGCCCGCAAGCCTTCTTGCTCAATCCCACCCGCCCCCCCAACACATACGACGAAGCACCCGGGAGTCAGCAGATCGCGTAAGAGCGCCGCAAACGCCACGGACTCCATCCGCACGAGACCCTGAGGCCCAATCATGCCAGGTGCGGCGCGTGTTCCACGTGCGCCCAGTGTTCCGCGTGTTCCAGCCGCGCCAGGTGCGCCAATCACTGGGAACCAAAACGTAGGGGCTCTACCTGCGTGCGCCGCAACTGTTCCTACGCCAGCAATTGCGCACGCCCCAGCACGCTTGTGGCTGCTGGCCACCGCGCGCGGCCCCTCCCCCATCCACGCATGAAGAACAAACGTGCGAAAAAGGGCAGCAGCCGCCGATGTGTCAAACCAGTCGGTCGGCCACCTGCGCCCAGAAGGCACGTGGGATTTCGCTGGCGCCCTAGCCGCCCCTGGAAGACGTCAATACAACACAGTCGCGGGGCGGCCGCCCATGCTCCAAATGCGGAGGCAGAGTTCGTTTCGTATTTTTTTGACAGGGATGGTGGGGGGGTGGGCCTCATGGGGTCGTCATGGTTCCAGGTTGGCCGCCGGCCGGGTGGGGGAAGGGGTGCATATTAATAGGGAAGAATGATAAGCCCCTCCCCGAAGGGAAAGAAGGGGGTTCAAAGAAGACACGCTCTGAACCACTCGCGCCCCAGAGGGCCAGCGGGACTTCTCAGAAGGCTCGAGGGCTTTTGTCGGGGGTTGCTAAAGGTGCCTCTGGCCCAAGGTGCCCCCAGTTTTTCGCTTCATTTTGGTGCCCCTCGGGCCTTCAGGGCCGGGTGCTTTGGAGGCAGTGGGGGCTTCCTTGGAGATCCTGGGGGCGACTTGGGCCAGGGGTTTCCTCCTCCTCCTCCTCCTCCTCCTCCTCCTCCGCTTCTCCTCTCCTCCGCCTCTCCCTCCTCGAGCGCACGCCAATCCCCCCCCCTCCTTCCTCCTCTGGATCGTTTTTGTTATGTCGTGCCTGTCTGGACGCAGCTCTTTCCGTGATTTTTTGCTCCACGATGGTACGGTCAAAGTCGGGCGTGTCCTTCTACAGGAGAATATTCAAAACATCCGATCAAAAAAAGCAGTTTGGTGACGATTCGTCGTGCTCTTTTTGATTATTGTTGATTCTTTGTTGACTATTTCTTATTTCGAAGGCCTTCCGGCCGGTGCCGCCGACCCTGCTGACGGAGACGACGAGCAGGACAAGGACGTTGAGGAGCAGGAGGCGGAGGACGTCAGGGAGCAGGAGGGGGGAGGAGGAGGAGGCGGAGGAGGAGGAGGAGGAGGCGGAGGAGGAGGAGAAGGCGGAGGAGGAGGAGGAGGCGGAGGAGGAGGAGGAGGAGGAGGAGGAGGAGGAGGAGGAGGGGAAGAGGAGGAGGAGGAGGAGGAGGACGAGGAGAAGTAGGAGAGGGGGGAAATTATTTGTTGACTACCTCCCATTTTTCTTCCACAGCCCGCCCTGTGGGAGGACACGCCCGACCGCCCGACCGGCCGGTACGGAGCAGCCTCCGTGGCGCCCGGCTGCCGGGGCAGCGCGTCCCGTGCGCCCGCCTTCTCTCAGGAGGGACAAAAAACACACAGACACAATTCATCGTCGATCCCCCAGAGAATATGGGAAAACATGGGAAGTGGGGGGAAGACCAAAGCCCTGAAAATATAGGAACAAATATGGGGAATCTTTTGATTTGTGTGCACTTCTTTGCGTGTCCCAGGGCCCCTTCATCTTGGAGCACCGCCCCGCGCCCCACAGCGAAGTCGATGGGATGCGGGGTGCCTCCTCCTCCTCCTCCTCCTCCTCCCCCTCCTCCTCCTCCTCCTCCTCCTCCGCCTCCGCCTCCTCCTCCTCCTCCTCCTCCTCCTCCTCCTCCTCTCCTCTCCTCCCTCCTCCTCCTCCCCCTCCTCCCTCCTCCTCCCCCTCCGCCTCCGCCTCCGCCTCCTCCTCCTCCTCCGCCTCCTCCGCCTCCTCCGCCACAGCCAGAACCCCGAGGTTCGGCACGAACGAAATGGGTACAGAAAGAATGGGCACAATGCCCAACGGCAGTTCCTGTTTGTTTTGAACGGGATTCGCTGTCAACGCCGCCGCGGCCTGTGGCCATTCGAGACAGGAGGCCGCCTGCCCAAGAGCGGCCGCTGATGGTTTGGGACAGCATTCCCAGACCCCCGACGTCATGATTTTTTCATTACGCGACCCCCAGAGGTCCGGACCCATTCGCCGGGACCGGTTTTTCATCCCGAGTCGTTTTTTGACGGTCCCGAGGGCCGGTAAGGGCTCCCAGAGGCTGAAAATTGCGAAAAACCTTCCGTCGTGATTTTTTCATGACTCGAGGGGGTCTGGGGTTGGTTTGGGACAGCATTTGGTGTTGGGCATTGTACCCGTTCTTTCCCTACCCATTTCGGGCGTCCACAAACGGGGGCCGCCAGGGCCAGCGGGCTCCCGCGCCTCGCCGGAGCGCGGGCCGCACGGCATCCCCCTCGGGCGAGGCGTCCCGGCGTGCCTACAGGCCTCCCAAGCCTTGGCGTCGCTCGGACGTGTGCATCTTTCCTTCGGCGAGGACCATCGAGGAGCATCCTTGAAAACCGCGCAAGAGACCGAAAAAAAACAGGGAATGGACGTCCGAGCGATGCCAGGAGGACCTTGTGCGGTTTCCACCACATGCTCTCAGAGCATGTCTGGCTGGGGCTGTCTTGTCTTGACACATGGGGTCTCTGTGTTCTGAGAGCATTGTTTGTTGTTCTTGGGGTCCATGTTCCGAGAGCATTTTTTTTTTGTTCTTGGAGCATGTCTGGGTTCTGAGGGAATTTTGGTGGTGGGCCTACAGGAGTGCCGGGACGGTCGGTCCCTGCTCAATGGCATCACCCTCGGGCGGAACAAGGCGAAGTTCGACTCGTGGTCGTTTTCTCGCGCACTGTTTTGCCGATCGGCGCGGGCCCCAGCCTTCGCGCACCCCCCCTCCCTCTTTCCCCCCCCTCCCCCCTCGCAGCAGGTCCTGGCAGTTTTGGGCGCCTGTTTCGAGCAGGCGGCGTCTCTCTCCCCCAGAGGACGCACTGTTGCAAACAGTCGCGTTAAGCAGGGGTCCAGACCCAGATCCCCCCTCCCCCCTCCCTTCCGCCCACTGTCGAAACGCCGAATAACAAAACGTTCACCTCGGGGTAATTACGGGAGATGTTCGGCCCAGCTTGTTTCGAGGCCCGCTGGAGTTGTGACGCTGTACCGTGTTCGGAAAGGCGGATGGGGAAGGCGCCATAGGGCGCACACTTGCCCCTCATTATTCTCCCCTCTCCTCATCTTCTTCCTTTTTCTCATTATCTTCCACCTCCTCCTCCTCCTCTTTCATTGCGGCTGAAGTGATCTCGGCTTGAGTTGGCCGCAACGCGGCGTTTGCTCTTGCATTCGTTCGCATCTCTGCATGTGTCGCGCTGCTCGATTTATTGTGACCTGCGATGGCCCGTTGAGCTATGAAAGCACTGTTCATTCAGGTACGCCTGTTGAAACAGGAGGTTCGATCATGGCAGAAACCCATTAGTCGCTCGAATAGTTGTTCCCAAGTATTCCCGTTTATCCATTAAGGATGAAATGCCTGCATTGTTTCCGGCAGCGTCACCATACGTATCTACCACATGAGGACGGTCTACCTCGTGACCTTGATTCACAGCGCGAGTCGCCGCGAATGGATGATCATTTGCGCGAGGACGGTATGCCGCATGTTCAGCCACATTAGAAGCTCTGCTGGAGAAGGATTGCCCACGACACTACGACCTGCAGCGCGACGATGTTAGGGATCCGCAGCGTTGGGAAGGCACGAAAAGGGGAGCGATTGCTGAGCCTCTCTGTCTTCCACATGGCCTGCTTGGTCATGCTCCGCCGCGTGACCAGCCGAGCCGCAGGATGCCGACCAGCCACGTGGGAATCATCTGTCGCGAGAAGAGGAGGTGAGGGGGAGGAGGGGGAGGAGGAGGAGGAGGAGGAGGAGGAGGAGGAGGAGGAGGAGGATCTTCCGCCAAGGCTGCACACGAGGGCCCGCCGCGGAGTGTCGACACACAGCTCGCATGACTGTGATGGCCGCGAGAGCATGACGATCAGCCGCGAGCAGATGGTGATCCTCCGCGCGATGGTGGTCTGCCGAATGCCGATGATCGGCGAAGAAGAAGCACCGTAAAACCTAAAATTTTCGCGCTCCGCGCGGATTTCTTGGAATCCGCGCTGCGCCATCCCGACGGGGCCTCTGGCGACGCCATTGGCGCGCTCCGCGCGCCAGGGACGGGGGTCCAAGAAATCCGCGCGGACCGGCGTTTATGCCGTTTATTGTTCCTCCATCCGCGAGATGGTGGTCTGCCGAAGGCGGATGAAGCCTTACCGCGTGAAGGTGGTTCGCCGCGCGAAGAAGATCCGCAGCGCCGCCCTGGCCCTCTGCGCGAAGAGGAGCACACGCGAGAGTAGGATATGGTAGGAGTCAGCCGATTGTAAGACATCGTAGGAGTCAGCCGCGCGAGGAAGTCCTACAGCATCAGCTGTACGGTGTCAGCGGGCACCGCTCATGGCGAAGAAAAGTACAGACTTCTCTGTCGCCACCATGAATCAGCGAGCGAAGCACCGTATAACATAAACTTTTTCGCTGTCGGGGGCGCCTATCCCAGGGCGGCTGGAAAGTTTATACCCTACGGTGCCACCGTAAGGGTATAAACTTTCCAGCCGCCCTGGGACAGGCGCCCCCGACAGCGAAAAAGTGCATTTTACACCGTTCTTCGCCCGTTAAATGAACACGGCCGTATTCCACAACGAGCGGAGGCACGATCTGGTCTCGGTGCCAGGATGTTGCGGCACCAGGCCCTCGTTGCGCCAGGCGTGAGACACGGGGGCCTTGCGCGCGACGGCCTGCCTCGCCCTAACAACTGCGGGAGGGGCGATCTCTCTGATAGCAGCCCGCGGCCGGTTCTTCTTCTTCTTCCCTCGTCCTCTCCCCTCTTTCCTTCCCCATGATCCCCCCTCATCTTCATTATCCCTGATCGTCGTCCTCTTCCTCTCCCTCCTTCAACTCCGCTGCTCTTCGTCTTCCTCTCGTGTCGCTCTCTTCCTCGTTCTCCTGGAGGCGCATCGGCAGGCCTGCACCCTGGAAGAAGCATGCGTCCACCACCGCCCACCTCCCCCTCGTCCTCTTCCTCTTCCTTCCATTCCGCTTCCCTCTCTCTCCCTCCCTCGTCACCTCCTCGTACCGCATTCCCTTCCTGCTTTCATCATGATCTTCCCCCCTCCTCCCTCCTCCTCCTCCTCCTCCTCCTCCTCCTCCTCCTCCTCCTCCTCCTCCTCCTCCTCCACCTCCTCCCCCTCCTCCTCCTCCTCCTCCTCCTCCCCCTCCCTCCGCTCTTTCCCCCTCCTGCAACCTGCTCAGCTTCCCCTTTTTCCTTGATTGCCTCCTCAAGCAATCGCGCTTCGCGGTACAGGCTAGAGAGTGCCGGCGAGGTAGTGCCCGCGCGGGGCGAACGGGCGCGGTACCCAGTCCAATGTCCGTGCTCTGCTTGGGCTCCCGCCCGCCCTGCCCGCCCTGCCCGAGCGTCGCTCGTCTCTTTCGTTCTTTCGAATGTTCTTTATTCTCACTCTGTTTCTCTATTTGCCCCCTGTTTCTGCTCCTTGTCGGCATGTTCCTTCATACCGTGGAAAGACGTCCAATGTCCTTGTTGTCGTCCTTTGCCTCGTCTTGCCACCCCCCGCGTCGCTTGCGAGGCGACGAGCATATGTGAGGACCTCCTGGAGGCTGGCGCGCGGCGGCTCTGCCTTCTCAGTCAAGCAGTGGCGAAGCATCTTGGCTTGCCTGTAGGCCCACCGGAGAATGTCCTAAGAACCTCTTGTGGTTTGCGCGACAAGTTCTTAGAACCTGTCTGGCTGGTCTTGTCTTGGTTGAACCAATCGGCTTTGTGGTAGAAGTTTGCTGTTTTTGTGATTCGAACACTTTCTAGAGACTTTCCAAGGTAGGCCTAGAGGAATGCCAGGATGGTTTGTCCCTGCTCACGGTCCTCCTCCTCATCCTCTTTTTCCCCCATTCTCTTCCCCTCATCTTCCTCCTTCCCTCTTCCTCCCCCCTTCTCGTCCTCCTCTCTCTCTTCTTCCTCCTTCCGCTCCTCTGTCTTCGTCTCCGTCTCCTTCTCCTCCTCCTCCTCCTTCTCCTCCTCCTCCTCATCCTCCCCCTCGTCCTGTTTCCTCTCCTGCTGCTGCTGCTGCTGCCGTTGCTGTTGCTGCTGCTGCTGCTGCTGCTGCTCCTCCTCCTCCTCCTCATCATCCTCCTCCTACTCCTCTTCCTCTGCCTCCTCATCCTCCTCCTCATTCTCCTCTCGTCCTCCTCCTCCTCTTCCTCTTCCTCTTCCCTCCCCCTCCTCCTCCTCCTCCTCCTCCTCCTCCTCCTCCTCCTTGCATTACACCCCGACAAAAGGAAAATCCTCACAAATGTTAGCAGGCGACAGGGGCGATGCATTACACACGTGGACATCGACGACGACAAGGTCGAAATCCTTAGCGCCGAGGAGAGCACCGAGTACCTGGGTCGCAAGCTGACGCTGCACGACTCCCACCACACCGAGCTCACCAACAGATTTGCAATGGGGTGGCGCAAATTCAACCAGTTCCGCAACGAGGTCACAAACAGCCGGTACCCCCTTCGCGCAGCTCTTCAGCGGGACGGTGACGCCAACGGTCACGTTTGGCTGCGCAACATGGACTCTCACCAAAGACATGCTCCTGACACTCCGACGCACCCAACGACGCATGTTACGACTCCTTGCAATACCTCGAGGCGCCGACAGAGACAACCCCACACCAGCACCGACGAGAACGCAACCAACCCCGGCACTGAACAGCATGACGACAGCACAAGTAACGACAGCAAGTCCAGCGTCAGACAGCACCTAGACTTTGACGACGTCGACGACGAATCCGACCTTGAATCCTGGGACAATTTCATTCGCAGGGCTACCCACGCCGCCTCAGACCTTGCGACGCGCGCACATGTGGAGGAATGGGTTATAATATTTCACAAGCGTAAATGGAGATGGGCTGGGCGAGTTGCTTCACAACCACACCACAGTTGGGCCCGACTGGCGGCGGCATGGGAACCTGATTTCCATGACCCCTGGGCAGCACGACGCCGACATCACAGAATTTTTACAGAAGGTTTTGGTTGGAAGCACACCTGGCACATGGCTACAGAGTGCTACGTTTTCCAAATTCTGGGCAGACCTCGAAGGCGACTTCTTGAAGTCCACATGCCTGTGACTGGGCTCCGGCCCGCCCGCGCCGCCCTTAAGGGGCCTGCCGGCCAGCCGGCCGGCGGACTCGCGCGTCTGCGTCTGCCTTTGCGTCTGCGTCTGCGTCTGCGTCCTCCTCCTCCTCCTCCTCCTCCTCCTCCTCCTCCTCCTCCTCCTCCTCCTTCTCTTGCCTTCCTCAGCATTCCTCCTCGCTCGCTTGTTTCGCTTCTCCTGCCCCCACTGCGCCCTCGTCTTCTGGCGCCGCCTCGGGGGGGGGGGGGCGGCCGGGCGGGCCCCGGGCGTCGGCGGGCTGCGCAGGGCAGATTGCGCAGGTCGCCGTCGTCGGCGGTGGCGGCGTCGGCGTCGGCGTCGGCGTTGGAGCTTTTTGTTCTGTTCCTCTCTTTTGGTGTTTCTCTCTTTCGTGGTGTCCTGGCCCAGCCTGGGCACGGTGTCCTATCCTCCCGGCAGCGCCAAGAAGGCATGCCGGCCGGCGGCCCACAGAGCACCTCCGAGGGGAGCGAGTGGCCAGAGGGGCGCAGAGTCCGACCGGCGGCCCGGAACGCTCCCCTCTCGGGGCTCCAGTAGACTCGGGGGCGGAAAAGAGGGGGGGTGATGACTAGGGGGGGGTGGATATCATGGCGTGGGCCATGATATTTCCTCAGATTTCATGGCGCCCCTTCTTATTTCATGACGTCCCTGGCCCCCCCGCTGGGCCGCGCACATGCCGCCGGTCATGAGTTGCACCCCCCCCCTCTTGGACACCCCCCTCTTGGCCGCTCCCGGTAGACGGTGGTCAAGGCGAACGGGGGTCAGTCCGAGCGCCGGGTGTTGCAGGATCCTGCAGGAGGCGCAATGGCCCGGGCTTGGGAGCAGGGTCCTGCAAAGCCTGATCGGCCCTGGTCTGGATTGACCCCGGGTCGGAAGAGCCCCGGGATGAAGTACACGGCAAGCTCTGGGATGAGGTGGTGCTGACGCCGAATGGGCGGGCCGAGCCTGGCGAGGTGGTACAAGTTGGGCCTGGCTGCACACCAGGCCTCACCAGGCGTCGCGGCATCATTTCGTGCACGACAGCTCGGGTTTCCTCAATGACAGTGCTTTCCAAATCCGCCGACCCCGCTAGGGCCACCGCGGCCCAGAACGCTCCCCTGCAGCTCCACCTCCAGCTCTGGCTTCACATCCAGTCCGCAGAGGCAAGGCTTGCACAAACGCCACGTTTGGCAATGGCCAGCTTCGGCCGAGGAGTGGAGGGGAGGGGAGGGGAGGGGAGGGGGAGGGGGAGGGGGAGGGGGGGGGGAGGGAGGAGGAGGAGGAGGAGGAGGAGGGAGGAGGAGGAGGAGGAGGAGGGCGGAGGCGGAGGCGGAGGAGGAGGAGGAGGAGGAGGAGGAGGAATAATAATAATAATAATAAGCATAAGAAAAATAATAAGAAGAATAATAATAAGGATGAGGAGGAGGAGGAGGAGGACGAGGATGAGGAGGAGGAGGAGGAGGAGGAGGATACTATTAATAATAATAATACTAATAATAATAGTAATAATAATAATAATGATAAGAATAATAATAAGACTACTACTAATAATAATAATATTAATAATAATAATGATGATACTAATAACAATAATAATACTAATAATAATAATACTACTAATAATAATAATAATAATACCAATACTAATAATGACAATACTAAGAAGAACC